GTGGGTGCTTTAATAAAACACGCTTCTTGTCTGAATCCTTTCTGTGACACAGATAGATCAGGTCTTTCTGTATTTATGCATATCCTACTATTCAGGACTGTAACTGCAGTAATATACAATAATTTACAGTACTCAAAATTCAGAATAAAAACATGTTAAATCCAGTTATTGGTGTTCATATTATCTTGTGTTTTTCTATGCAGGTAATTACATTTTAGTCATTAAATGAAGTGCAATACTTCATACTGGCTAGAATGACTGCCATGCATTTTTAATGGTTTCTCTAAGTGTCATTAAGTGATAATTTGAAAAAATAAACAAACAACCAGCAGCATACACAACTGGTTATTAATAAAGCCTGTTCTTAATTTACTTTTAAAAATCAACAAAAGTTGTGGCATAAAATGTAGCAATAGGTTATAACTCTTTTTTTATATAAAACACTTGAATGTTTTATATAGTTTTTTTCAATCTGCCCATTCTAAATATAGACTTTCATAGCAAGAGTATAATAGTACATCTGCTTGATATTCGAGAGTTGATACAGGAATGATCACCAGTATTGCTTTATGGCTTTTCTGTCCTGCGTCTAATCGAAACATTTTGACTTGTATGTGGCTCCTGCTGTATGTCTGCTAGAAATGTCTCTGTTTTTCAGTGACAGAACACAATAAAGCTTTGTAACCTGATTTCCTATTCTTGTTTTTTCTGAATCTTTGCTAGCTTACACTGAAACCATACAGTGGCAGAGCTGTGGCTGTTTTACCTTCTATCTTCCCATTTCATAGCTGGCTATGGCAAGGCAGCATTGTGGTTGCAGTATCTAATCACTTTCCAAATGTCAATGCTATGTTAAGGGCAAAGATGTCTGAGGTTGCATTCAAGTGATCATGAGAGGGAGTTTTAATTTTTCGTTTGTAGTTTTGCACTACTCCAAGGTCTGGAGAAATATGGAGATAGTTTATCACCACCTCCCCTCCCTTCAAATAATTTCTGTATTATGTGCAGTTTGGCCAAACTAGAATATTGTCATACTAAATATTATTTGAATTCCCATGGCATGAATATATCTTCAAATTGTAAGGAAATACTTAGTGTTGTTGAGATACTTCCTGTGAAAAGATACTATGCGCTTAATCTCCCTTCAATTGTTTGAAACCAGTAGTTTTCAGGATTCATTCTTCTGTAATGCCAAGAAGTGTCAGTTGTCAGATGCCTGTGGAAAAGTATTGTAGTTCTCAGCAGGCAGCACCTACTGGAAAATGAGATGACTGTCTAGTTGAGTATGCAGACTGTCTCATTAGCTGCTCAGTCAAGCCCTGTGACCTTTTGTCTGTCAGACTTTTTTTTTTCTAGCAGTGAAACTCATCAGAATAAAAATCAAAGTTCTTTTAACTATTGATACCAGAAGTGAATTTCCTAATATATCAAAATGTTGTTGAATCACTTCGGTGTTTTCAACCTTAGCTTCCTAAAAGACATTTACATCAAAAATCTCAATGAGTTTTACTGAAAACATAGTAACTACTAAGAAAAAGGAAGTTGCTGCTGTACCTACAGCTGGAGCTCGCCTGGAGGAGTTATTGGTAAAGTCTGATTTCTCTTCAGAAATGAGATTTTGAGGTTGCCAGAATCACAAGACATGACATCTGAGCTCCTGGCAGTCCTTGCTGGAAGTGAAGGAGTAACAGGAATGAAGTTGAGCCTGGGGAAAAGACAGGGGCAGGAAGGTGTTTTAAATTTGGTTTCCCCCACCCAAAGCTATTTTAATTGCAACAAATTAGTTTTCCCCAAGTTGACTCTGTTTTGCCTGTGATCATAATTGGTAACAGACTTTCCTGTCTGTATTTTGATCCATGGGCTTTTTCATCTTATTATCTTTCCCTGTCTTGTTGAAGAAGGGGAGTGAGAGAGTGACTGGGTGGCCATCTGGCAGCTGGCCAAGGTCAACCCAAAACAACCCTAAAGGTTTTTTCAAGTTTGTGTAAATTGTGGCTCTATTTACAGTCCGAGGTTATGATTTTGCTTGAATGAATACTCCTGCTTGCTTCTTCAGGTCCTTCTTTAGGAATAATTTAAAAAAAATGTGCCTGGCATGCATTTACACTCCCATGCATTTTCATGTCTGTGTGAATGATCTGGCTTTACAGAAGTAGTTTACAGTGCATAATATGTATATGTAAATGTTTTGTCTGTAGATTCATTTATGTCCTTCAGCTTTTCCTGTTACAGTCATTAAATACATGGGACAAAACTACACATACCAAGTTGCTGCATTTAAGTTAAGTTTTATCATCTGCCTATTGCAGTTACTCATGCTGTTTTAGTATGCCTTTGCAGTAAGCATCCATACCAAATAAATTTGCTCTTGAGCATTTTATGATTTTATTAAATATTCATTAAATGTGATGCATGGCATTCATACAGTCTGCTGCTTAGTGCATTGAAACCCCAGAAAATGCACTGTTTATAAATTCTTTATGCAGAATGAGCCAAGGTTTTCCTCCTCTACTGACACATGTCAGGGTCCAGGACACGTCGCTATCAGTGTAGTGTTGTTCTGCATGCAGGACTGATTTGGAAGGTTTAAGATCTAGAGAATGGGTACAGCAATTCCTGTGCACCCTTAGTGCAAGCTGCAGTGTCTCTGACCTGCTGTTCCTGATAGACTAAGAAGGGTTATAAGCAAGATAAATAGGTGTTTTCTTGCTTCTGTATTGGTAATGTCAAAGGTAAAAAATAAGGACTTTTGGACAGGTTAAATGGGTTAATTTTTAGCCTCAGTCATGCTCATACATCAGTCAAGTTCAACAAAGGGTAAAATTTGTCCTAAGTGTCAAAAATTTATGCTGGATAAAAGTGGTCTGGTGATAAAAGATCAGACTTACTTTTAACTGCTTTTCTCTCCATAGTAAGCAACTATCAGAACACCTCTAAGAATGTAATTTTTGTCCAGAACGGATTTTCATGTTAAAAAAAAAAAAAAAAAAAATCTCAAGACTCTTGTTCTCCTGAAACGGGGAGGGTGAGACACCAGCTATATTGGAGCTTTTGTCACCATGCAACCGCTTGTACTCATAAGCCTGACTATCTATTTATGAGTTCCTCCCCAGAAAGGTGATTGGGTTTGTCCATGGAGGTACCAGCTATCTAGATATTACAGCCCTACAGAAGTCTGGTTAGGATGTAGCATCATTATGATGATACCCAGCTCCTACTGCATATATAGTGTATGATGAATGGCCAATACAGGAAGCAGCCTGGGTGCTGTGTGTGATCAACTGCTTGTTGTAATAGAGAAACATTGCTTAATCTGAAACTGAAGACTGAGGATTTTTGTTTGGTTTTGTTTGTGTTTTGTGAGAGGTGTTATCAACAGATAACAGGGAAAAGCATCCTTAAGAGTGCTCAGAGAGATTATTTTTTTTTTTAAGTGTTTATTTACAAAATAAGCTTAAGCTGTGAAATCCAGCTATGGATTTCCTGTTACAAACTCTGATTTCTTTCATTTGGGGCAAGATACTGCTGAAGCCTGCTTTGGGCTGTATACAGAGCGTATTAGATAAACAGTTACTTTGTGGGTTTTTTTATATAATAGTCTAGTATAATTTGGCTGCTGCCACAAAAAAAAAAAAATCCAAAGAATTCTGTATCAAATCTGAGATAGCACTTCAACATAAATACAGACCAATGATCTTTAATATTGTTATTAAAGATTATAGTATGTTATTACAAAGCAAAGTTAGGCCAAAATGCAATCTCTGTCTGGAGTCCTGCCTGAAGTTACTTTGCAGTACTGTCTGAACTTACTGTGCTGTACTATCTAAAGGGAAGCATTGAAAATATCTAGCATCAGTGTTAATGTATAGTCTACTGCAGGGGATCGTAAGCAGATTACATGGAACAACAGAAGACAGATATGCTGAGAGACTTTTCAAAAAAATGTGTTCTCATCCACCTGCTTTTTGCATGCGGTGTCATTCACTGGTGTCTTTTAAATTCACACTGTTGTTATTTCCCTTATATTTATTCCCTACATATTTATACATATGTTTGGGTTTTGTGCTGATGGTATTGTAGACTAGCATATGCAGCTGTGTTCTGGAAACTGAGTTTATTCTCAAGAATGATGAAATTTGGCATCCTCAGGCTTTCATACCTTCACCCTTACACTGCACTAACATGTACAGGTTTCCATCGAAATTTTACTAGCACTTATTAGCTAAACAAATAAATCCTGACTTCATATAGCTCTAAACCCTGTACACAGGTAGTGTAAGATCAGCATATGTGTTCGTCTGTAGGACTTAAGGGGAAAACATAATCTCCACATATGTTTTACTTACTTTTCTGATGCGACTGAAGGCTTAGCTTCTGCTATTTGTGTTTCTTAGTCACCTTCAGGATAAACTAAGAAAATAAACTGTATGGCACATACTGGCTCATAAAAGCATATCCCGGAAAAAGCTATTTGTTTAGTGATGCATGTTAACTAGCTCTCCAGCACGGTGCTATGTGCAGGTTTGAACGAGGTAGATTCTTAAATGAGTGGTTTGTAGTTTTGGTTTATTCAAGACCTTAGGCCAAAGCACTTTGAGATATCTAGTTTGTTGATTCTTTGTGAGATGCCGTGATTTTAGTGAGAGTTCAGAATGAAAAGATCTGGGTTTTGACTAGAATAATGCTTTGATTTGCACATTCACCTAAAAGTTATGTACTTAGATGTGTTCTAGATCAGATTGCTTAAATAATATTAACACGATTGCTGATACAGTATATTTTCTGAGTTTAATCATACCCATGAAAATTCTATAAGAAAATAGTTTAAAATATGTTCACAGTAAATCTTAGTTATCTTTTTTCTTCATGGGTTTTAAATGTTTTAAATTAATTACTTTTTGATACAGTGCTTACAGTAATACTGTTGAATTAGCTATGAAAATAATTCATGCTTTTAATTATGTGCTAGTGATTTTATTTTTTTGTTTCTCTCCTTTTGT